AAGATTTAAGGAAAAAAACTTTCAAAGTGGAGCTGCAACTACAGTTGCTGTAGTCTGGGTTGGAGTATACAATAGAGCACACCGTTGCAAAAAATTTAAAAACAAAATGTGAAAATATAGAGTATGAACCCCTCAGGGAGGCACTGTATTGGATGCTCGACATAACTTTTACAGAGAGAAAGGAGAAACCTTGGGAATGAAAAAAAAATGTCAACAATAGATAAAATGCATAAATAAGCAAATGCAACAACAATGAGTTTTAAGGAGTTGCCAAGATTGTAAGTGTTCTTAGCTGCCATGAGTGTTTTAATATGTCAGTGTGACACAAATTCATCTTTCAGCCAATCAGTTACCCCAAGTGCAGTCAAGATGAGCGACATTAAACATACACAAATGCAGGGCATATACACTGCATGCTAAAGAGGATTGGGAAGAGAAATACTGAATTCTGTAGGACCTAAAAGATGTATAAAAATACATCAGTGTCCTAATGACAGATAGTTGTATGTGTTTAGCAACAGATGTCTGATAGAAGATTAAATATGTTAACTAACCCACAGCATCACATGCTTATATAAACATCTCCTCCATAAATACACTTGTTATCATGCCTACAAACATCCCACACAGATCTACAGTTAACACAAAACCCAACTGGAGCCAAACTTTCCAATCTGATCAGAGTAAAGAAAAGTAAACAAAGCTGCAAAGAAGCATTTATTGAACCTTACATGATTTTTATCTTGCTCACATGGCCTCATATCTGTCCTTCTAAACATACCAAACATTCAGTGGGCGGCCCAGTGGTTCAGTCCAGCCGTAAAGGCACCACATGAAGTCCAGTGATCAAAGAGGAATTTCACCAACTGCTACGGTCCATGTTCAGCTTCTGGCATTCCGCCAGTATTCTCCCTTGTCATCAAGACCCCTGATGTTGTAAAGGCGTTAACACATGTTTCTCTACAGACATGTATTTGTGAAAGATCAAAGATTTCTTCTGAACTCTGCACAAAACAGGCTCCAAGGAAATATTAGTTTTAAACATAAATACCTTGTGGTAGTTGTACCTAATAAGAGAGATAATTCAAATTTATGTGCAGCATTTTTGCCACTGAATATCCATTTCTCATTAATGAATTAAATAAAAATGGATGCTTATGCACACTGGCTCGTGACAAATTGTTTATGATGCGCCTCCACACATGGTAGGCTGTTGCTCCCTTGTTTGTCTTAAAGAAGCTGAGAATAAAATCAAAAAAGAGAAGGAAATTATGAGGCCTGACAGCCAACTGTGAGCATCGGTAACAGAAAAGAAAAACATTCACATTTCTTGTTATTAAGATTACAAAAACTTTTTTCCATTAAACTCATCTAAGTCAAATTTTTAGGAGTTTAAACATTCTGGAAAAAAAAACAAACAAGAAAGTTTGTTACTAGTCTGTTTTGCCGAGGTGAGAGCAAGCCTTCCCCTTGAAGGTAAAAGACAGTTTGCCAAGTCAGCACAACCCAGTGTTGTTCTTCTCTTTTCCAGAGTCACATTATCCTGACAGAACATGCTGCTCAAAAACTGGCGGCTGTCCTGACTTTTTGTTTCCTCATTTATTTCACTGATAAATGCAACTTTCTATAGAGGAAAAACACTCTTCCAGTAATTAGACAATAAAAAAGCCTCACAGTCTCCCCCACCGACAAGAAAGCTAAACCTAAATACTACATCCAGAAGGGCAGTTATGTATTGTATAATTCTGACTACAGGCAAGGGGAAGATCTGCTTCAAAAATAATCTAAAATCTGATGTTTGCAACTTTTTCACTTTGGTTAAAACTATCCTAATTCCTTCTATTCGGTTCTATTGTGGCAGCACCTCAGCTATGATCCTAGAATTAGTAAAGCATAGATCGCCAGGTGTTTCATCTTGCTCCGTTTGATATTGAAGCGCCTGCAGTTGTCTTTACAGTACAGCTCCTAAGACTGTGGGTTTCCTTCAGTAATGACATCCCACAGATTACGTAACTGCCACTGCACGGCCCTCAGGCATCAAGTATCTGCTACTGTAACCATGAGGCTGTCAGTGGTCCCCATCCCCCTCTCTCATATACAGTCACTGTGCCTTCACAGATTGCAACAGACATGAGGCCTATTCAATGTCCCATTGTATCTAAATGCTCTAAGAAGGCATGTGTTTGCTGGCAGGCTTTAGGATACAGTATCAGCACAGAAACTCGTGAGTAAAGCTCAGAACTGTGCTTTGCTGGCTGAGAAAAAAGGAAAAAAATAGTCACAAGACATAGTGGCTTCAGCCTTACTGCTGCGATTCTCTGCGTTACATCAGCTGAGTCAGGAGATCTTCAACAGAAAGCAAGAGCTCAATACATTTCAGGAAGACTGCTCGAATTGTTCTTTTTTATTTAAACATCTTTCTCACATCTACTCATAAATATGACATTGACTAAAATAAAACAATGAGAAGCAACACAGCACTTTGGAAATCGTGTGAGCGTATGCTATTGAATGAGGATATTTTCATTTAAAAGTAAAACTCCTTGCCATTTCTTCTCATTGCAGCAAAACTCTAAATAAATATCTGTTTTAGCTATTCTTAAAATATTAGAGCTTTAACAGCATAATCATTTTAAGATCAGAACAGAAAAAAACATGGAAACATTTGGGCAGTATAAGCAGAAAATGAATGCCCTCGGTGCTTAACCTCAAGGCTTCACTCCATGGTGGCAATACTTTGAAAATAAATCCTCAACTAAAACACCATCAAAATAATCCTATGGTGGGAACTTTAGTAGATATATAGATAGAGAATACTAGCCCACATATTTGGTATACTTATGCTATTTCAAAGCTGTCTTTACGGTATAATTGCTCTTCCAAAGTGTTTATGCTACTCTGAAAAGAGTGGGTTATATATTTACTCAACCACCCTCGATCTTATATTCCTAAAAAAAAAAAAGAAAAAAAAAAAAAAAAGCAGCTATTTTTTTAAAAGCCATTGCAACTAACCACATCCAGAGCTCATGAAAAAGAAGAACAGAATTAACCTGTGTACCATTTCATTTTAGAATAAATACAGCTTTTCTGTCAACACTAAAGGTGTGTCTACAATCAAAAGTGATTTTTTAGACTCTGAGAGAACAATTGACATGTTATCGGTTTGTATAGGGAGGTTCAGGAGTGCTGACGCTAAGCAGAGGATAAGATTTTTAAAAAGTGAAATGCCACATTTTTGAGGACTATGCTGAAGCAAGACAAACAATGAACCAAGTGGAATGAAATTCATAGAAGTTGAACATTTTTAACTTCGGTGCATTGCTGTGTCACAACAACCAGTCATGGACTAGATGCGGCTGTGACATAGGGTAAAGGTGCAAAGCAAAGATGAAGCTTTTTTTTTCAATCAACATGGAAGAGACAGAAAAATTTTTTATCAAAGGAGGAAGCAAAGAATGCTCTTAAGAGGATTGTAGGTGCCTTTTAGAAAGCTTTTTTAAATTACCCCTTAAAGGACTGTAAAAGCATTTATCACTAGTCATCCTAGTGTCTCCAGCACAGTCCCAGGCCAGCCGGCACTTCTCCCCTGCTCTGATGCTCTCTCTGCCTGGTAGACGTCTCTGAAGCAACTCTGTCTGAATTTAGACAGAGATTTGCTCCCCAGGGGAATTCCTTGTGAAATATCAGGTGAGCAAAAGTCTGTAATTAGATGGTAAATTGTTTACATTTTTATATGACCTTGTCAAAGTCTTAACCTGGTCCAGTTAAGGATCTGTCCCAACATTTGATTGCCTATTCTCAAATATTCTCTGTCCAATTTGACTAAACTTTAGTTATCAGCCAACAACAAATTTAGCTTCTATATGCGCAAACCAGAGTCTTATACGTATCTAAAATAATTTGTAAACCACGTAAAATGTTCTTCCACTTCAGTTATGAGTAACCTAAAACTATGTTTTCATGCGGGATTTTATGTTCAGTCACATACACATCCCACCCATCCCCCCAATACCAAAAAGTTTGGGTGTGCTAAAACATAAAATGAGAAAAAGAGCTATTAACGCTTTTTGCTTTGATTATTTTTATTAAGCACTGCAACCGGTTACTACAGGAACATAGCTTTAGAGCGTCATCACAAGAAGGCAGAAGCTTTTTTTTACACATGGTTGCAATAAACAGTGTAGTGCCTGCTAACAAGACAACGCCTTAAAAGGGAAGACAAACAAACCAGATGAGTCTGCCAGAAAAAAAAGGAGGGGGGCTGGGGGGGTTTACTCTAGTAGTAATGTTTTGTCTCCATAACCGGAAACATGACTATTCATGCAATCGGCATGAATATGGTTTTCAGTGATTCAGTATTCTTTTTTTCCCAAATTTACTTTTCATATTATATATGTACATAAACAAAAGAAACATTAGAAAAAGATTTTATCTATTTTTAGATCGACCGTTTCTACTGACTAGGTCGAAAAATGCATAAAAATCCAAAGATGGACACTAACGAACAAAATCACCTACATTCTAAGCTCTTCAAGATGTCGCTTACCAGGATTCAGTATTATACTGTTGCAATTTTTCTTAGTTTCATTGCAAACAGACTGATGACAAAGACTAGTCCTCTAGGGTCTGCCTCAAGCTACTTTTTAATGTAAACTCTTTAGGCAACCCAATAAATATTGCCATCATGCTGAGTGGATTACAAGTATGAATAGTTGCAGCTGTTTTGAGTTGAAAAAGCACAAAACTGTTTATGTTCAAAGTTAAATATTTAGTTCCAGCTTCAACTTAATCAACCTAAAAAGGAATGGCAAGACATTTTTTGCTGAATTCATTAAGAATGGCATTATTTTGGCAGAGGAAATGACAAACATGCCTGTCAGTGGAAACGTCAGCTAAATACTAAGGATAACCGTGCTGAAATGTTTCCAAGAGCGCAGCAAATGCAGAGAGACAGAAAAATACATAATTCATCTAAATGCAAACACAGAAAAGGTTCCTACCAGAGAGGCAGATGAAAGTCATGTAATCTCCCTGACCACCAGTGGCAAGGAAAGGAATCTTCTTCTTTGTTCTCCTCTTCACTTGTACACCAGCAAGCATCCTCTCATCGTGAGGTGTGAAGAGCTCCTTGTTGATGGCCAACTTGACACTCATCTCCGATACCGGCAGGAACAAATATGGAAGGCAACTAAATTGAGAGATCTAATCCTCACTAAGAAGGGGGAGGAAAAAAAAAAACAGAAAGCAAATTTAATTAGTTGAAGATAGATTTTACCTTTGCCAGACAGTCAATTCTAGCTCAGATATCATTCTAAAATTTACTGATAAATATAAATGTATGTGACATAATAAAAAGTAGGGCATAAAGCATTAATCAAGGCCATTAAAGATGCTCAAGAGCAACAATGCGAGAGATTTAAGAGGACGTTGCAATTGAGTAGCAAGGCCATATATATATATATATATATATATATATATATATATGAGCCATTGTTCATATTTCTTAAAGTTTTCTGGGCACTTGAGCAGTGAAATAGCATACAGCAATCTAAAGCTCTGTTAACTCCCTGTGATTTAGGGCAGTTATCGTCGGAACATATTGGAGACAAGGCAGCATGTATAATGGCAGGAAAGCAGTGTTCACTTGGTATAACTATCTTCTAGTGTAGTACATGGTCATAAAGAAGTGGGTTGTTTGGATCTAAATACCCTCAAGAGTCTTGTGGAGTGTAACCATTGTCTCAGCTGCATTCATTCGAGACACAGAGCATCTCAGATTACACCTCACTGCTGATAAACCAATCTGCCAGTTTCAAGAGAAAGCTATACCTCAGAAAGGATAGCACTAAACAATACCCTCATCAAAAATACTTGTTCATAAATACCAATAATTTGTTTGTTTTTTAAAGAGGACATAGCATATTTTTAAAAAATCCAAAAACCATATCCTGTATCAAAAAAAGGTGAACTAAATTATGCCAACATATAGTTTATAAATTGCTAATAGTAGTATTATAAAATGTACCATTCGTATTATACTTAGCATGTTTTTTTTTTTTTTATGCTGTGGAGATTTACTACTGTAGACTGTTTGGGAAAATGTATTTGCTTTAATGCCAATGTTGTGAACATTTATGGGTTTTCATAGTGAGAGCAACTAAACTAAAAAAAAAAACAGATTTGTTCTGAACTTTTCTTTAAAAAAGCCAAAAGAAGACAAATAAATCAATTATGAGGCAAAATGTCATCCAATCAAAGACTAGTTCTCAACATCTTTCGATATCAGAGCATTTTTTTGACTACATTATCTACTATAGTATTAGGCTTGTTAGAGTCAAAATAAAAATATATAAAAAATGAAAAAGACTACATAAATGACTGATGAAGTTGAAAGTCAAACCCAAAATACAAATCAATGGGCTCCCAATCAGAGCAGTAGAATTTCACCCACACACAAAAATGAACCAAAACTTTTAATGTGTAGATCTACAATCCCTCAGGCAAGTTGTATCCTGAGAGAAGAGATCGATAAAGCAATAGAAAGTTTTCAGAGTGTTTTTCAGGAGCAGACAACCTTAGGAGCTTGTTCGCTCTATCTGGCATAGCAGGAACTTGGGAGACAAACTTGTACGCTTCATATGTTCAACAGAACAAAAAGCCAGAAAACAGACTAAGAGTTTTCCTATACAATAAAATTACATGGCTGTATTTTGTTGTTTTACACAACATGTGAGCAAGAATTTCTGTATGTAACACTTCCACTATTACCAGAATTGTAGCTACCTTGGAATGCCTTTACACTAGATGCTTATCAGCAGTATCTTGCAGTTGAGAAAGAAGGCTTACAACGTCACCCCTGAAGATGTCACCACCACACATCTTCCCTCAGGGGGCCCAGCCAAGCACATCATGACGGGGGAAAAATAAAACGACAGCAACATGAGCAAGAAAACAAGTAGGAGGGGACAAAAACCTCCAGGCAGTGAACTGTAGCCAACTAGGTTGCAGCTTATGGTTTGAATTTGTTCAGAGTTATGCAACACTAACAGCAGCAGGGTTACATAGTTGTAGCCAAGGCGCTACTGTGCCACTGGAGGGAATGCACATACATTTAATACTGTTTGTCACCCCATTTTCACTCAAACACTTCATGACTGAGAGCATGTTGTGCAAAGGAATAGGAAGACCAGTTCTTTTCCTGCAGCATTCCTACGCTTCACTCTAGCTCCGTGGGACAACATCAAATCTGTTCAGGCAGTATTACTACTCTCTTTGTACCTCACTGGTTTGGCATCGGCGGGTTAGGCTCCAGTCGCCTCTTTAGCAAATACACAGTCAAGACTGAGCAGAAAAAGAGGAAACTGATCTGAAAGCAAAGGTACTAAAAAAATGTCCCGAACAAAACTTAACTGTACTGAAAGTTACCAGATCTCTTTTACGATTATCCCATTACACATAAAAAATAGGTAATGAAAAATGAAGGCCAAAGAAAGTGTGTGTTTAAACTTCTGTTTGTCTGCTTCTGTCTCCGTGAACCCCAGTCGGCCTTGGCAGATGGCCGCTCACACCGAGCCTGGTTCTGCTGGAGGTTTCTTCCTGTTAAAAGGGAGTTTTTACTGTCCTATGATGCTACAAGCATACTTGGTGTGAGGGATTGCCTTCGAGTCAATGAGTCGATCAAATCAACTGCTTTTCCTCAGAAAACTTTGAATCAATTTTAATGTTTGATCTGGTAGAAATGTAAAGTGCCTTGAGATTACATGTGTTGTGAATTGGCACTAAGAAAGTGTGTTTAAACTAAATTTTATTTCTTTTAAAATTTGTGTCTCTGGTCCTGATTCAACAGCATTTAAGCTTTAGGGAACTTTAATTGTTAATTTTAAGTTTCCTAAAGCGAGGGAGCTACAGAGTGTCTTTAATGCCTATATAGGAAATGATAAAATGGCGGGAATGCAAATAAATTAATATTACCATTATCTTTTCAAAACCACTGTTTTCATATTCATTCTGTACAATAAATAGTCAAGTTTAGTTCCAGTTAAAGAAAGTAACTCAAAATCATGATGCCACAGCCACCACTTTTTAAAATTGCTCTGTTTTCTGTGTTTTTGAGAATTCAAATTCAATCTGCCATGGTAGTTACTAGAAATGTGGGCAGATTTTTTTTTTCTTTTTAAATCTAAAAATGTATAAAGTAAAGTTATATTCACGAGGGCAGTGAACTTCAGCTCCAGTCCTCTAGAGGAAAAGTCCCGTCATTTATTCCTAGAAAAACCTTTGAAGGCGATGAAGAAAAACTCCACTGGTTCAAAGATTGAGTTTCTGACTGAAAGCTGATCATTTTAATTAAAGGAGTAGTAAAAGCCAAGCAAAGAACAATAAATCAATAAATTACAAGAGCTGTAAATTACATGGTTAAACTGTTGCAGAAGTAAAAATAAAATAAATAATAATAATAATAATAATTAGATCTGACAACAGCCAATGAAAACTGCTGATGGAGGCGAGCAGTGCAACATGATGTAAATTCTTAATATGAGTTCACCATCAACTTGAGTTACACAGAATTCTGCAAAATCTCCTTCTAATACACACGCCCACACATCTGTACTGTACATGTCCAGACCACATCTACCATTTCTTTTTCGCACTCTGCATTTCTCTTATACAACTTTGATGAATTCAGACAGACTAAAACTCAAATATTCCACATTCTATTTAATAAAGGCAAGGAAATTGGGTGAAATATATAGAGCTCACTGACTGTTCTTTCCTTTGACACGATGTCAACAAATTTAACCAGTGTCCCCTGGATACCGACATGCCAGCTGCAGGGGTAGTGACTGACAGTTCTGTCATCAGTGAATAAAAATTTAATTTATAATTGCATAGATACATAATATATAATGATGTAATTTAGTGAAAAACTAATTTTGGATAACAGCTGACTGATTGAGCAAGACTCCTATGTCAAGTCTGGGGCCCTCGTAAAGATTTGTTTGTACCTGAGAGAAGATTAGAAATAGGAGACAAATTATGAAAGAAAGCTTTTCTCCTAAATCCTTTGTGCAAATGATTTAAGAACACATTTGTTTGTACGAATGCTTCTGGCATGAGAACCAATGACCCCTCACAGCAGGTAATCTAGAAACATATTGAATGTTTTTAGAACAGTAACTGAAACATTAGTACAAGATCAAATAACTCATAGGGGTGCAGGCATAATGTCTTTTTGAAGAACAATTACTTTCCAGACATGGAAAGTCATACAAACTTAGAAAGGAAATTGGGTTTTCTTTTGTTTGTTTTCATTATTTCAGGGATTTGTTTAAGACTTAAAGCTTTGTATGAGGACTACAGGATTAGAATGAGGGTCAGGCTGCAGTGATACCAGGCTTTGGCATATGAAATAAAGAATGATTCTCAAACTTTACAGTATATGGTTTATGCTGTTTTCGGAACAGTACTTAATTGTATAGCTGTGAATCAAAAGCAAACCATGAAAATAAACTCAGTTCTACAATAAAATTGTATTTCTGCTTAGTTTTAGGTGTGTATTTTGAAAGCCAATTGGAGCCTTACTACTCAAATAAGCTTGAGTTGACGCACCAACACACCGCTGGTATGTTAACAAATAAACCCCCCTTTTTCTTTCTACTAAGGCTGCAAGCTTAGGCCTGGAGTCAATAGCTGTTTGACCAGCAGCAAAGATCAAGTGGAAAGCAGTGAAAAAGGTTTTACTTGGAGGATTTCTGTGAGCCTAACTTTAACTGAATTAACAAAATCTAAACACTTCTTTATTAAAAGTACAAGAAATTATGTTTTATCAATATAACCTACAAAAAAAGATTAATTGTATTCTTCAAGCTTCTCAAACTCCTCCAACTCATAGTCAGCTGGCCTTGGAAACTTGGGAGGACAAATTAGTTTCTCTCTTTTCTCACTAAGCTCTTAGAGAGGTATGACAGATATAAAACACTTTGCTTCATCTGCAGCCTTTCATGCAATGCTTTTAATGTTGACTCAAAGCTCTGAACAAGACCTCAGGGAAAAAAAAACTCCCACACTTCCCTCATCTTCATGAAAACAAATTATCTGAGCAACTTTAAATGATTGCAGTCTAACGTTACCCCAGTCAGAAAATAAATCAGACTCCAAACATTGTAAGGTTTTAGTTCATTTCTGTATGTTTACGTTTAAAACATTTTGATAAAAAAAAAAAGTCATTTAAAAAATAAAAAAAAAAATTGAATCAAAAGTACAGTGTTCTATTTGTTGATTGTAGCTTCTGTTCACTGCAGCTGCACGGGTCACAGGTTGGTAAGTAAGACCTCCCTTCTTTTCAACAACAGTTGAGCTTTCTTTTGGATTTCCAAGGAGTTCCCAGGACAGAAGGAATGCACAGTGCCTCCGGCGTTTCAGTGATCCACCTGGCAAACCTCCAAAGTGAGGTCACCAGGAGACATTCTTATCAGATGCCCAAACCAGCTCAACAGACTCCTTTTGATCCTTAAGAGGAGCTTCACTCCAGGCTTCATCTGGATTACATCTATAATGTAGAGCTCAGCCAACCCACAGAGAAGAGGGAAAGAAGCACATTTATATTGGCTTTAAAAAGGTATCAAACGTTCTGACCAAGTGACCCTTAACGCTTTTTCACTCCAAACTATTATTTTACGCTCTCCTTATTTGGGTCTAAAGCTGTTAAAGTAAATTACATCTGCAGATGATTCCTCCTGGTGTGAGGTGTCATTCATTTCCACCATAATGATCTAGAGACACAGATTATTGCTCAGTAAAAGAAACTAGCTAAATAAATAAAAAAAATGTGGTTTAAAAACAGAGAAAACCCTAAGACCAAGAACCTGTGGACATGTATATGTATATGTATATATGTATCTATGTATATTGCACTAAAATTGGCTAATTCTATTAATTAAAACATGTTGGATGTTGTTTCCACAAGACATTATCCTTATTACCTCTGCAATAGTCAGTAGACACATTGAGTTGATCCATTATGGGCCTAAATAAACACCCTGTTAATTACAGTCAACCCTAGGTCCTGCAATTGAAAGCAAAACAAAAGCTCCAGAAAACTACTAGAGCTCCTGAAAAACGTCCCTCCTCTGGAAATAAACTTTTAGCCGACTTTCAGCTGTGTTCCGTTTCTTCCTGATTCTGATTCAGACCAATTGTCTAATATTTTCTGCAAAATATTCATTGTGCCGCTCCGGAAACAAGGCAAACAACAAAGGACATCACACTAGGGTGCAGTGTGCTTTATGAATAAAAGAATTCCTAAATCCTTCAGAGTATTTGTTCTGCATTAAACTAACATAAGGATCAGGGCTTCACAGAAAGAAAATAACTTAAAGCATATATTCAGTTTTTGTTAGGTGATTCAGTGGATGATAACGGTATAGAAGGCCAAGGAGGATATAGTCTAGGTGTGCACCACTGAATGACCCTCCAGCTCCTGCAATGAGCTAATTGGTAAAAGAGCAGCACCTTAGAGCATTGAGGTGTTTGATAGGAACAGCATAAGTAGAAGAAGCAAATGCAATGCACTTACTAACGGATGTATCAAACAGAGCAGGGATCATTACCACAATAACTGTAATATGTCAAGGTCACACATTGAGGCATTAACAATACAAATGTGAAAGTATATCAGGCAAATGCAACAGATCTATATCTAGTGCATACAGAAATGTGTTTTTGTTGTTTGTTTTTTTTCAATAACTTTGAGGTAAAGATGCTGTATGTTTTCTATTAAACACGTACACAAAAATATTAGTTAAATACTTTTAAAGCAGAGGGATAATCACTGCTGTAAGACAGGAATGGTGACTGCAGCCTCAGAGATTTAGCCTCCTGAAGGATTTCACATATTAGTGTCAAATTGTGAGGGGGACAGATGCAGGCTGAGTACATTCTCCTTCTTCCTCATAACTAGACGTAGAACAAAATATACATTTCTTTCTGCACAGAATAAAGTGTTTGAATTAAAAGGTCATGGACACCCACGGAGGGAGCAAGCGGAACTGTACATGCTGCTGACCGTAAGTGGACAGAGAAGTATGGGGGAAAAGTACAAGCTGATGTTTTATTGCTTATAAGAGCAATAAAAGATATATATGGCTGTCTAAGTATGCTAAAGCCATGGAAGACCAACCTGCTGCAGAGGTGCAATAAAGGAACACTTATTGGAATATGCCACTCTCTCATACTGGTGCATGAATACAGCTGAATGCATGTCTTGATGGAGTCGTGTTTTAATTTACTTAATTGTTTCAACAAGAAGATCGTTTAATTATTTGCTTTTTTATGAAAACATTAATTTTTTTACGTTTGCAGGATTTCAACCCACACAAGAAAACAGCCCAGCACATCACAATAAAGTATAGGGGTCATAGAAAACAAGACTTACAAAATGAGGAACTGATGAAGAAATACACAAGAATTGGGAAGACAGCTGACATGACAGTTCTTTAGCGGTCACTGAGTGCCGAAGAAGTGTCCCTGAAGAGGTAGATGTTGACAAAGGATAAAGCTTTTCACAGAGTACCGTATGAAGCCATGCTAACAGACAGTTGAGGAGAGAAAAAATGCTGTTCATAACAAGAAGTTATGAAAACAGTATTGATAAGCACAGCATTGAAATGACTTGGGGTGTGGGAAATGTTTGATTTGCTGCCAAATATACCGGTAGTATCGATCTTTCAGTTCCTAATTTAGATTCTTAAAACAAAACAATTTTATCAAAAAACAATGAGGGGAAATGGGCTTTTGCTGTGCAGCGCAGCACCATATCTGTAGTTGAGGCAGTCACAGTAGAAGACGTGGACTGACTTAAACCCCAAACAACATGGATTCTGATCAACATATATAGCACTTGCTACTTTTTTTTAGCAATACATTTCATTTTGGTAGATGGGATAAATATTGCAATATATAGGGAAAATATTGTATTGTGACCCAAGTATCGTATCGCAACAATCATGCCAATACTCACCCCTAGAAATGACTGAATCACTTCGATGCTTTAAGGTCTTTTTGCCATTTCTATACATCTTTGAAAATGAAGGTCGCACAGTCTGGAGAAAAAGTGGAAAGGTGCAGAACCCAAGTTGCTTGAAATCCAATGAGACGTTTCTACAGTATAGAAAAATTTAATATGGGCTTTTTCCCTCTGCACAGCAATCTACTAAACAATGCTAGAGCGTTTTATGCTTCCCCCACTAACAAGCTTTATGTTTATGCCAATTTAATTTTCCAGTAGGACTTGAAAACTCCCCCGCAATGCCAGAAGTACCGTTTTCAGTGTAATGACCATGGTCGTCACTCTGTTTGATAGGCTTGCAAACTAACCTAACTCATGCCCCTTAGAGATTCTATTAGGAATCGTAAAAAGAAAGACAAGAGACACTAGAGCCAATAGGACAGACAAGCTGAAGGTCGCTATTACAGCAACTTGGTTCCTCAAAACATCATTCGGCAACAGGCAGATTGCCTTCAAATCTCAAACAAGCCTTGATCAAAGAGTACTGATACTGTACAATACAGACTGTTTAGGGCTGTTGACATTTGTCTATTGCAGACCTACTTTTATTAGAATTATGTAATATTCTATTTCAATCTGAAAAACTCAAACAAAGAGAAAAGACAATTAGGAGACATGTATTAATACAGAACTTGGCAGGAAACATAGCACTTAATTTTGATAGATATGCATAAACAAGAGCAAAGGATAGGGTTGAAACTGGTGACTGCGGGTTAGCAAAATATATGCTGAGCTTTATGGGGAGATCCAGTGGACTGCGTGAGCTGAAACTAGAGCTTCACTCAGGGACCTGGAAGATGGTAGTCCAATTGGATAACAAAGGTTGAGAGAACCTGTCCATGATGAGCAAGCATGAAGTGACAGTGGAGAGGAAAAACTCCCCATTGGGAAGAACCTCTGGCAGAACCAGGCTCAACATGGCGGTCCTCTGCCAGACCAGTTAAGACAAGACAGGGAACGCAGTAAGAGTCCGAGAGGAATGACGCTCTGATGAAGCTTTAGCTACGATGGCGGAGGAAGGGCTGGAGGTGGGTTGAAACGGTGTCCTCTCAATGAAGTCACAGCACATCCACCGCCTGCGCACAGGAGCAGACAGGTGCGTATCGGAGGCCTTTTTAGATTAACTTTGGATGCCAATTGGCTTTGGTGGAGGTGTGGTTCAAAGCTGGTTGGCTGTGTAGCAGGTGAATGTAGGAAGCAATGAGTTTTTCAGTTAAACTTCTGCCTAGGCTCGATTATTCTGGTTTTCATCCCCTATAAGCCATAAAAATTTTAACTTTCATCAAAATTCTAATCCCTCTTTGTAATGGTTTGACAAAAATCCGAGTATAAATTCTTATATTGAATTACTAAAAATAAATAGGCACATTTATTGGATGAACAAATACTATTCCATTAATTTCAAACCTGTTTATTGAAAACAACAATCAATAGCCTCACATTACAACGCATTAGATCAACATTGTAGAGTTCAGAACCATTTAGCTTTGATCAATACTTAATAATCTGATTGCGGGAAATCAGCCACGTGGGTGGGATGATATAGCAGCACAGCCTATAATCATAACAGGGAGTTATTCCGATTGCACAACACCCGGATTCACCTCAGACTGGGAGGAATTTGTCAATCTACTTTCAAGTCTCATACTGAAAAGGAGCGTCTCCCCGTTTGCGCACATATTGGATTCCCAGATAAATAGAGTTTGTCAAAAGCGATGAGGACCTGCTTAGACTGTTTGCCTTAACAGGAACTGATCAAACATTCATCACAGCCATGGCTCATAAAGTTTTATTATTGAGGAACACTATCACGCGCGCAGTTTGTAGGTGAGCGCGTGCATGCGCCCTGCAAAGTGGCAGAAATGTTACTGACGCAGTCCATCGACTAGAAATCAAAACAAGGGTAGAAAACACTAAATAAAGTTGTTGTTTTTTTCTTGGTAAAGAGTCCTGTTTCCATACAGTACTTCAGCAGGTGTAAAGCTTTGCGTAACTTACCTTTCTGTATTAAATAGAGCCTTGTTTTTCCTCGTGCGGTCTTCTAATCCTTCGCTGCCTGTCTCAAGCTGTCAGTGCGCACCCAGTCCTGGGGATCTGCAGCCTCTTCCTTATTGGTAGCTGTCTCTTCAAACTAAACGGTGGCATTTCGTGTTTGACATCGCGTCGACTTCACCTCTTTCCAATAGCTGTTGGTTTCTTGGTGGCGGGAGGAGAGATTTTTCTTATTTTTAACCTCCACTCCTCTGCTGTGTGGACAGCCTGTGCCTGACAGAGGCTGAGTGTGAATGGGAACCAGTAGCAGGTCCCCCAGACGCGCACCAATCACGCAGAGCGTGTCACGCCTCCTCCTCTTTGCCCCTGTGAGATATTTTATACATGCAAATAAACAGTTCCAACAGCTTTAAAAAAAAATAAAAAAAATCTTATTTATTCTCCTATAAAACTGAGTGGAATACATCACAACTTACTCTGAAAACGGATGCTTTATATAAAATTGAGTTGACAGTGGTGCGTCTTGAATTAATGCAGCCCTGGGCTCAAGGAACTTATCCTCCCCTCAAATAGCACCTTTAAAGGGGAACGCCGTTTTTTATTTTTATTACTTTAATTGTTTGGCATTTTTTATTCCCATGGTATCAAAAATGGTGTTGAGTATCAAACATTTTGGGGGTATTGAGATCACATTCGAAATTTGAATAAAACAATGTTTCTTAATTATGTTAAAGATAGAGTGTAGGATGTTCTTTTTCCAGGTGGATCATCAAAATAAGTGGTCCTCCTAATTGTCAATCATTCTCGTGATATGTTTACGTAAAGCCGTCCTGCATGCTCTTCCCCATTTTCACTTACCGGTGGTGCGTCTGACTTTGTGGAAAAATTTCAAATCTTCTTTTGGAAAGTAAGCTTCTATGAGCGATGCAAACAGCAACTTTTAAACAGAGGAGAAACGGTCCCGTAGGCCTACGCGCTCTCGCACACATTTAATAGGCGTTCCCTCCCAGGCGCAAGTGCAGGGTTGTGCATGTGCATTTTTTTTTTTTAAGTGTAGAGGGCGGGTCTTTTAAAAAATTACCTTACCATGTTGGCACTGGTAAGGTAAGATCACAGAAGTCCAGTAGTCCAATCTTGTGCATTTGAACCTTCTTATATATTTTCATTAGATATTAAAATTTTTGGACAAAGGTAAAGGAAACCAGAATTTCCAGAGCAAGTTTTTATTTCAACTCTTTATGCAGAAATAACTTAAGCTATACACTTCTTTTAGCCATATACCATCTGTTTACATCGCCTGAAGAAAGTTTTACCCCATTCCTTACGTTCAGTTAGATGTTTAAGGGGTTTCTTGCATGTACAGACTGTTTCAATTTACCACACCATCTGAAAGGGACATATTTGAACACTGACTCCAAGGCTTTCAGTTTCTTTGTTTTCAGGCAATCCTTCACTCTCAGAACCTTTCTGTCCCCTGGGGTACAGTTTAGACCTGTGCACCCCTATAGAGCTAATTGGATTTATTTGTACTTTTTGAGGGTCTAAAAGGTATATTTTTGTCCCCAATTTGTAAATGGTACAGATTTTGACTCTTTAGTTAAATGTAGATTTTACAACAAATGGCGATGGTAAAGTATTTTCAAGAAAAAACAAATAAATTAGTTAAATAAATTTAGGTACTGTCTGAGTGTGCTGTTAGATTTACATATAATCTTTGAATCTCATAGTTTATCTCCAGCTCAATCTTTTTAAACATGGTCTTATTTTTTTAAAGCAGCCATGTTAGAATTTGTGGTGGATTCTTGTTTGGCAAGCAGACCAGGTTCTGCCACATAGAGGTATCCTCTAACTTTGAAAAGTTGACTCTAAATATTGAAAGTGGTGTAAGCTTACATTCCTTGAATGTTGTATTTGGCCTAATTTGGCCAAATACAACATTCAAAGAAAATAACATTCAAAGAATATTAAAGAATTCCAGGTCTTGTTTGAATTTATACTCACAAACCTTGGTCTAGTTTTGGGAAAGTAAAACTTTCTCTCTTTGTGAAAGCACTTTCTGTGATGATGTTTAGGGGATTTTGTGTTTATCAGTGTCATTGTTGGTGGGTGAGATATACATTGAAATATGTCCTTAAAGTTGATGTGTTGATATGAATTTGAGCTAATCTGACATAGAGAATAAATATGCGTTTATTTAAAACTACTATGTAGGGATAAATATGCATATTAAAGTGATCCGGTGATGAAACACGGAGAAGGTCATCAGCTGCTAAGGGTCAATGATGAAAACTGGGATGAATTAGGGTCTGACCTGTCAAGGCTCAAAACAGAGGACCAAAAATTCAAGGCAAGCAGACAGATGGATTTCTCAAAAGTGTTTTTTACTGTGCAGAGGGAAAACTAAGGTTAGTGACCATGTAAATCTGACGAGGATGACTGCGAACGTGTCAGTCACTAACCTGGTCTTAAAGGGCAGTCCTTCCCAGAGGAAAGAGCGGATTCCAGCCGAATGGCTGCCAACAGCACACAAAGAAGACTGCAGAACTAGATAATGGACAGATCCAAGCAGACGAAGGAAGGCTGGACTTTCCAGAAAGTGAAGCCAAAGCTGGTGTCAAAGAGATTCACAGGAGTCCAGGTCAGAAAATCAGAGATCCGAAGAGGTACTAAGGGGAAATCCAGGTCAGGAGAAAGTTAGAAGACAGATCCAGGTTAGATTCGTGCACTGGTCGAGTTTTACCAACCCGCACCCGCCCGAACCCGTTACGATGACTTTCGAACCCAACCCGTCACCCACGGATATCTTCAATTCAAATCCGAACCCGACCCGACCCGTTGATATTTAACCCGCAACCCGACCCGTTAACACATCAAGTAATAGGCTATACTGTAGTACGCTGCGCTGCAGAACAGCGCCATTAACACTGCAGCAGATGTGTATGCACTGACTGTGGCTTTTTTGGAGGGAAGCCCACACTGCCGGCAGGGCTTTAAGCTACAACAAGGGTGACCCCAGTGCCTGATTGATATAACATTTCTGATGTCCATAACAACACACACGCATAAAAAAAGAATCACTAACTACCCGCCCCGCACTAAAAAAATATCCGCCCGAGCCCCCGACCGGTTTATTTTTATTTATGTATTTTTCACCCGCAAAAGTGCATTTTAGCGGGTGACCCGTCGGGGACCCGCCGTTACCCGACCAGTTGCAGGACTCTAATCCAGGTACAGTCCACAGGCAGAATCCAGCAGGAGTCCGAAGACAGGTCAGGCCAACAGATTAGAAAAGGGACAGGCAGGCTCAGGGGTCCAAGGCAGAATGGGTCAGAAATGTCAGGGTTTGGTTGTGGTTTGAGGACCCAAATGCAGAGGCAGGGAGGCAGAGGTGAGTTTCTTGTAGATTTGATGAGTGGTTCATAAACAACAGAAGCAGGAATCCAACAAATCCAACAAGAAAAAAGAAAAACAAACCAGAACCATGGAGACTTCAGGGGAAAACAGTCACGACAAGGTAAGACACAGTAAGACGGAGTTAGACGAAGTTAGATGAGGAACCAGTACTGAGGAACTGCACAAGGAGAGTATTTATGGCCAACTGAACAAAGAGAGCAGATTGGGAGCAGGTATGAAGAAAGTCATCTAAGGAGCTAGGGAAAAAGGAGACCAATAGAGGGCAACAGAGGGCAACAAATAAAAACCTAAGAACTAAAATATAACCAGAAAACACAACAAAATAGGAAGTAAACCAATAAAACTAGAAAACATGGAGCAAAGTTAAACTGAATACTCAAAAGAAAACATAACAAAACCAAGACTATGACAAGGAACAGGCAATCAGAACAAAAACAGGTACACTAGAGAACTCTCACCAAAGGCTTGAATAATGTGGCACTGATTACTGGAAGCAGGCAGGTTAAATAGAGACTGGTACAGGTGACACAGATGAATGGTGATGAGAAACTGGGTGGAGCTAGACAGGTGAATAGAATAAACCATTAAGCCAGTCATCAGTGCCAAGATCATGACGGATCCAATAGAGGAACAACAGAATTCAAAGATTCATGATACCCTTTTTAAGTTTGTTAAAAATCTATGAACAGTGTAGAATAATTCAGTCCAGGTTTGATCCACTATCTATAGAAATTTACCCATTTAACTCAACCTTAATTCATTGATGCTGAAGAAGGCTTTGATAAAGCTTTTTTGTTTGGTTTTGTTTTTATGAATTTTTATTGAATTGATTTTATGAATCTCAAGTAGCGTTTTTGTAAAATCAGGCTTCAGTTTAAAAGTCCACAGTTCAACTCTGTCAAGTCAAGATATTTTAAATGATGAACTTGGAGATGAAGGAATCCCTTAAAACATGGGGAGATAGCCCTTTAAAGTATTATTTGTTTTACTAACTTAAAATGATCAGCTTCATGAGCACAAACTATAACATTTAATTACCCTGGATATAGACTATAAGGCTAGTTAGGTGGCGCAACTGCTAAATTTCCTTGTGTTCTAGTGCCACCGCAAAGAGGAATGCTCTACACTTAACTAAAAAACAGCTCCTAAATTTCCCTAAGCTTCAGATAGGTTAGTTTCATCATGGGTATATTCTTCATAGGTGCTTGACAAGGCTATAACGCTCACAAAGTGTTTCTATTTCTTACTGTCTTTGTCCATAATAGTAAAGAAATGTATTTTCCATTTTCAAATTATGCCATTGGAGAGATACTTTAGACAGTCCTGAAGATTTGTGCCAAAATAAGCGTTGTGGTAGCCAAAAAAACAGTGTAATGTTCCAGTCTGGAAAACTCATCCTCTAAATATACTGTATGTAATAATAGTAAGAAGTTCACTACTACTCCACAATGTCATTCAGCAGTAACCATAACTTTGCCTCAAGCCACCATCAGGGTAAATATTTCTTAGCTTCCGCAGTCACATCTTGTACCTTTGTTGTTGTCAGTTTATAGTTTCATTGGTTATATTCATGTTAACATCCATCCTTCTTTAGTTTAAAGTTGTCCAACTTCTTTTTGCCACTAGATAAGGCTTTCTTACTCTACCCAAACATCTTTGAGCTCTGCTTGAAATTAGATGTGAGGGCGGTACCAATATAACAAGACTGTCATCTGGTGACTACCACCTAAATTACATCAGATAACCACTCCAGTGAAATTCACACACATGTAGATGAGATGCTATAGGAGATTTCATCCAGGTGGTGTTTTGATTTTTAGGCAGTGAGTTCACCAAATTCCTCTGATTCCTTTTTCCTGATGGATCATGATCCGTTCC